GGCATCAAATCATGTAGTCAAATAATCTTCCTGTTCCACCCCACTAATTAAGTGGCACTCTAAGTGTCTGTTGCTACATTGAAATAATTTATTATATTTATAAAAGTTGCCCAGTTCTTCTCAGGCTTATTTTTCATTTAATGGTAATTGTCTTTGTGAACTGCAATGGCTTATCAGTTTACTTCCATGTGTACCTAGGAGACTAAACCTAGGCAAAGGCATCTGCCAGCGGTGGAGCTGGAATGAAGACGTAGTACTTCTGATTAAACTGACTATGTTGAACATAAGCAATGGGATGGATTTATAAGCGGTTCATGGTTAAAGGGATGCAATCCCTGCAGCATTCAAGGCTTACATCACATCACTTTTCTTTTATGTGGTTGAAAACATATTGTTTTCTTAATGTTCCTTTGTAAATAAAAATATTAGTCATTTAAAACACTGAATATTTTTCTTATTAAGAAGCTGTGGTGAGCTGGACAGTAGCGGCTCACACCTTTAAACCCAGCATTCATGATTATAATGAAGTAAAAAATTGAAATAATATATACTTATCTTGCTTATTTTTAAAGAATTTTTTTTAAAGTGACAGACAAACTCTGTGAGTTTGATGCCAGCCTGGTCTACAGAACGAGTTCTAGCCAAGGCTGTTCCATGGAGAAGCTTTGTCTCCTCCCCGCCCCCCAAAAATCTAGAAGAGTCTAATTCAGCTAGGTTGGGGACTTTGTGGGTTCTCAGAGTGATTTTATCTCTTCTCTGCATGTGGCTGTGGTTGGAAGCTATCACCTAGACAGGAACTTGTGGCTTTATATACTGCTTCAAGTATATAAAGGGACTCTGAGCTAACACGTGCAGTGAAAGCATCTGGGGATGTCTGGTACCAAGAGTACCGCTTGCCCAATATTTTCTAAATGTTGGCTCACATGAGTACTTTGGAAGTGAATGAAATTTCTGTGAATACAAAATGTGTGTGTGTGTGTGTGTGTGTGTGTGTGTGTGTGTGTAAAGTATTAGGGGTAGATTGTTTCCTTGGAGAGTACCTATAGAAAAGAATGCCGATCTCTCCTGGTGGGAAATACCTGGGGTCTCACATTCTAGAATCAGCCAGGTATAGTCAAAGAGTGAAGTTCCTAGCAACTCTGGGAATACTTACCAATTGTACCTATTCATACATACTGCAAACACATAATTAGGTTTTTTGGATCTGATACTGTATTTTTAATGTCAGATGTATAATACTTAATTTTCAATTATTCTTCACATTTTTAAGATATTTCAAAAGGTGTTATGGACCCTTAAAAAAGCTATGGTCTCTAGGCCCTTGGCCTTGAGTATGTCTAAGCTTTTGTTTGCATAAGTATATCTAATATCTGTCAGTTGAGAAATCGGTGCTCAGCAAATATGTTTTTATTTGGGATATTATCAATTTTATCAAAATGTTTTTTAAAATATAAAGGTGCATGTCTTTATACAGATTTCTCATTTAAATCTCTCATGATTCCCTGGAAAGAGATGTTTCTATAAATTTTAAATATAAATATAATGACATTTATATTTAACAAGAAAACAAATCGATGCTATAGTTGGCAAGAGAAGAGAATTATGACAAGTTCAAGTGTTCTGAATTGTCTATTTTCATTTGACATGAAGGAAAATAGGAAGGTAGAATTCAGGAAGGAAGGACATGAAGGCAGATCAGTACATAACAGACTACGATGCTATTTTACTTAAGTCCTTATAGGTTATGAAAAGTTCAGTCAGCACTGATGTACCAAAGGTTCTATTGAAGACAGTTTTTTTCATGTTAGAAACTATGTGACCTACAATAATATTTTCATATCATCATGATTATAATACTTGAAGTTTTAAGATTTTTTTGTTTTTTAACATTGGATCTCAACATATAGGAAGGCTAGCCATGGAACCTGAAATGCTCTCGTCTCTGGTTTTAATGTTGGGATAAGGCTTGCAATGCCATGCCCAGCTAACTTTATTCAATTTTTAAAAAACATTTTATATGTATTTAACCCAGATTCAGAATATCCAGCTGGGTACTAGGAGAGAAGAGAACTGTGAATTGAAATGAGGAGGGAGCAGAACAGTTTAAAGCAGTGTAGAGAATAACATTGTTATTCTGTTGCTGGTATTGGAATCCCCTTGCCACAGAAAATTGCAAATTCTCCTAGTTTTGAGGTAGGTTTTTCAAGAGTTGGACAGGATACTGTGTGGAAGACATTTGTAAGAAAAACCTCACATTTATTGGCGGTGGAGGCACACACCTTTAATCCCAGCACTCCGGAGGTAAAGGCAGGCAAGAGCAGGGAGAAAAAGAGAAGAAATGCCTCATGTTTACTCTGGCTTTCTTTTTAACATCATTGTCCTGACTATATGACAAGGACTGAGAATGTTAGCAGAAACTGGTGTCTTCTAGCGGAGACGGCAGTGCTCAGATGTTAGAACTCTGAAGAGGGCTGAGGTCTGGAGCAAAAGTGTGGAAGAAAAGAGCTGCCAAGAACCAAGTTCTGTATTCTCTGTCTAAGTAATGGTCTGCACATGTGCCATTGAGACTGGCGATCTTACCCAAGAATCTGCATGGGCTCTGTGAATGTCTTCATCTGTGTTAACAGTTCCTACTGGGCACCAATTATAACGCTCTAGCCATCTGTTGAAATAAGCAAGACCCCACCTTAGTCTGTTTTTGTTACTATAAGAAAATCCCCATAGCTGAAATTCATAAGGAAGTGAATTTTATTTTCATAAGTTGTGTATTCTGAAAAGTCTTAGATTTAGGCAACATCTGATTCAATTGCCTGGTTAAGTCTATTCTTATCTACAACATGGTGTTTTGAATGCTCCTCTTTCTGGAGGAGAAGGGTTCTGTGTCTCCACATGGCAGAAGATGAAAGGGACCGTCCTCATTTATAGAGCCATTGCAATGCAGTCCATAGTCCAAATCATAAGAGTCCTCATCAGTTGATTGCCTATCTATCCCATCATTCTGTCTTTTACATTTCATCTCTTGAAATTTATAGGCCCATCCATTCAAACCAAAGCAACATCCTGGTGTACAGCTCACGTTCTCTTTACCCTAAGAAAATTTAAACAAATCTCAACAAAATTTGGAAAAGAAATAGGTTTTAACCTGCCAAACTGGAAGAATTTGATGAATACACTGGGCCTTTCTCAAACCCAACCTAGCAACATAAAATCAGTTCTACTTGTTTAACTGATGATTTTACTGGTTGAGACCAAATATTGTCACTCTCTGAAGGAACATAAGTATAGAATCTAGGTTACCTACATTTTATTGTTACGATGCTCAATATATAATTAAAAACATTATTTTAGAGATGTCAAAGGAAAGTGTAGCCTCTGGTAAGAAGAAAAAGTAAATAGAAGTGAACCTTGAGATATCCTAGATGTTGATCTTAGTAGCCAAAAGTTCATGTGCAAACACCCTTGCAAAGACTTAAAAACAAAAACAAGCACACAATAGAGTAATTGGGATATTAATAAACGAAAAGGTAAAAAATCATAGGCATAAAATGAAATAATTAAAATAAGTGAAAATTCTCTAATTGAAATGAACAATAATCAAATGTATTTATTTTAACATCTCCAATAAGATATTAAGGAAAACTAATTTCATACATATCCTTCTGGAAACCTATGGATAAAAGGTTGCAGGAAATGGGCAGTGCCCGATGGAGGGAGCTGAACAGACACATACGAGGTTTTGCAGATGTATAATAACTGAAGTTATAGCAAAAGAGGAGCATGAGGGGAATATAAAATACTAGGGTTGAAAATATACCATTTTAAATAAAAAAATGTCAAACTTAGCAAGCCCCAGTATGAATTGACTATATATAGTGTATCATATTAAACTGCCAAAATTGCTAATAACCGTTACAATGATAATGAAGAAAAAAATTTTGAGACAGGGTCTTACTATATAGCCTTACTTGACCTGGAACTCTTTGTGTAGAGTAGAGTAGCCTCAAACTCATATAAAATACTGGTATTAAAGATACGTGCCACCTTGCCCAGCTTGAAGAAAATAATAAGGAACTCTTAAGTGTTAATACTACCATTCCTGAAGAAGCTACCAACTTTCTCTAATTTACGTATTTAAAAATACTGAGTCATTAAGTCTGCATGCATGTGTTAATTTAAGAATGATATGATATTTCAGATTGTAAGAAGCATGCAGGCCCATTAGATAAACCATACAGAACCATGTAGATATAAAATGGAAAGGTGCTTTGGATCTCATGGCTCTTGACTGTTTGATCTCATCATGTTTTTATTTTGTTTATTTTTGATAGGCAATAGAGTATCATTTTAAAAAGTAGTTTTCTTATGGGAGCATACTACTAATTTATATAACCATATTACGAATTATAATTTATTATTATTATTGAGGCAAGGTCTTTGTGTGTAGCCCAGGCAAATTAAACTTTTTGGTGATTCTCTTGCCTCTTATCACCCAGACGTTGGGATAACAGGCATGGACCACTGTTTGTGACTAAGGCTATTATATAATAAAATAAGCCTTAAAATCTGATCATTGCATGTAAATTTTATGTTAAGTTGATCTTAAAATCTCTTTTATGGTAAAAAGTTCATGGAAATTCAGCCTAACTATAATATGTAAATGTGTGTGTATGTATGTGTATATTTGAAGCTATGCCAGTTATAATGAGAAATGAATTACAGAGATACAAATGCTGCTGCCTTCTGTTTCTACTTTATGAAACCTGAATATAGAATTTCTATCTCAGTTGATAAGACATTCAGTTATGTATTAGAATTTCTGAATTGTTGATGTTTATTACTCTTTCCACTATTTGAAGCAATTGCTGTGCTAAAAATTTTCAGGGATACACCTATGTGTATTAAATTTTTTCTCATTTAAATGATATTTTAAAAAATGAAATTGAAGTGATTTTGCACCTAAAGTTCACCAAAAGACAGCCTCCTGTTTCTTTTTTATTCAGAGATTTTTATCAGAGGAATGTAGACTGGAATCTGCAATGGTTCTCAAAATCCCAAAGTGGTAAGTGAGACCAATTAAGTCTTTTCTTACCAATATTTAGTTGTAATTTTTCTCTATAGTTCTTTACTGAAATATTTAAAATGACAAGCGACATCAATTCCAGTGCTTACACATCTGATAATTTTAGAGCCTGGCTATTAGCAGTTCTGTGTTTGTGTTCCTAATGGTTTTGATTCTTTTAGTACTTGGAGTTACGGTCAACAGTGAAAGGAGTGGGTGGGCAGGAGGCTTTCCTCATGGCACTGTCCACCTGGCCCCATCTTTTTTGAGATAAACAAACCACATCCCAAAGTTGATGTGTTGTTGTAATCGATCTTGTTAGACTGACAATAAAGGTGGCATTTCCTGTTTTTAACCCCACCAATTCAAGAATTAGAATCCACATTTATCTTGTAATCTGTGATCCAAGTGAAATCTTTATAAAATATTAAAATGTTTAAAAGAGTGGGTAAAAATTTGAGGCTAATATAGTTATGAAACAATGACGATAGGACTTATGAAAGTTAAGAATGTGACATTGTAATAAAATAAGAGAACTGGAATAATATATTTTATTTATTTCATTACATTATTGATTTTATTGATATTGACAAAGTCATTGATAGGAATCAAAAACATTTACAAAAAATAAAATATCCAGGGTTATGGATCTAGGTGTCCTGGGTTAGCACACAACACTTCCATACATACCCATATGAACAAACACATGAAAATCAAAGGTGTTATAAAGCTTAAAATCAGTGTTCAAGCTGACACTTTAGGTTTATAGTAAATGTTTCTGTGTGTGAAGTATTTGTTACAAGTATTACAAAATTTTTTATGCTTTCTGATGTACGAGTCTTGCTAAGTAGCCCCTGGTGAATTTCTGGTGATGTTCATATTGATGACCTAAGTTTGCCTTCAAAACTGTTGGTTTTCTTATTTTGTTCTGGGTTTAAGTATTCACCCTCTGTCTTCTTAATAAGCTCTGAGAAGCATCAAATATCTCATTCATATTTAGCCAATGTTACACATTGTTCTGGCCTTCTCTTTCAAGGGCTAAATGCTGTTATTTGGTGTAGTTCAAGGCAAATGTGTACGGCAGCATGCGACCTCTTGTGTTTCTGATCACATGGATTCGCTCTGATAGTTTGTCTCCTTGCCTTCAGGTTCACAGTGGCAAACTTCCTCATATCCTATAAAGGGTTGTGGGGGGAACTTGCAGTTATGAAGCTTGCAGTTACCAAGACCCTCTACTTAGTACTCAAAACAATTTAATACAGTAACCTAGCTTACTTAATATTTTATTTACAAATTCATTTATACTCGTACTGATGAAGCATACTAAATAAATGTGTTCCACATTTATTTTTAATTTTTTAATACGAAATAAAAATGTTCAGGTACTATATTGCTGGCTGCTTATCCATTAAAACCAATTCAGAAACAAACGTTCTGTTTTGTAAGATGTAACATTCAAGCCCATAGGCTGGTTGAATGCAGCACATAGGAAGGAGTAGCTGAAGGCAGCAGGGCAGAGCTAACAGGAACTTCCATATTGCTTGAAGTGCTGAATTGTTAATTTTTTTTCGATCCAAAAATAGCCCATTAAATATGGAATTCTTTATTGACGCATTTTCCTCACTTTGAAAGAAAGTGTAACTCTTTTTGTTTTGACACTGATTTTTTAAATTACTTAAAGAGCTTCCAGTTTTCTGTGATTATATCCTATTTTTACTTAAACTATTCAAACCACGCCTTGACTACAAACTTCAAGTAATTATAAATAAATATGACCTAATAGTCACTGATACTTCTTTAACTCTTAATTTGTAAGCCAAAAGGCACTGTCTCCAGTTCTTAAGATCACTCTAGGAGGTAGGAATTACTAACTTACCACTTGGTAGTTGAGAAAACTCAGGCTGTGATTGTTAAATAGCTTCCTCATCCTTATGGCTACTAGTGATGATAAACCAGTGTATGATTCCAGACAATGGATGGAGAATTCAGCATTCCGGACCTTTTTGCAGATGCTATTGTATATACTGAAGCTGCCCCAGGGCTCCACAGGCTTCTCCAGTTGGCTGGATTTAGAGCAGCAGCTTCAGAAATGCCAGTCTCCCCATCCTATTCCTCATTAACTTTTTACTAAAAATGCTTACTTTCTAAAAATACTTTAGAGCACTCCCAAGAAGAAAACAATCTAGTGAATAATTTTTTTTCTTGTTAATTTGTTAGAAACTTTTGCTTCTTTTACCTTTCTCCTCTTAATTACTGTTTATGGACTTGGAAACAAAAATAGAATCTTGGGGTCATGTTGAGAGCAAATTGTGCAACTCATAACATATCTTGTAACATGATACAGTAGATCTTTCATTGTGGAGGTCCAAATTAATCCGGGTATAAACCATGACTTGGGACCATTGCCTGAAGTACATGTTTAGCCCTGCTCTCCTAGCCTGTGTTTCTCTGAACATAGTCGAGTCTAGTAACACAAGACGAATTTTGACCTTTAGTGGTCCTGCTGTAGTGCAGTTCTGCCCTAATGCTGACTGTGTAAGCCAAGAATATAGAACACCGTGGATTTGATATCATGATGATAGCATTATTTACAGAGCCAAACATTTTGTTAATGTGGGATGTTTGCATATAAAACATTATAGTTTGCCTGTTTAAGTAAAATTTAGTTTTTGTTTCTGAGATAAATTCTCATATAATCCAGGCTGGATTATAAAGTTGAGGATGAGTTTGTACTCCTGGCCGCCCTTCCTTCTCCTCCCAAGTAGGGAGGGACATTACACATGTTCCCATTATTTTGAGCTTTTCCTGGATATTTAATATCTACAGTGTTCAGATTATGACTGGGTTCCTATAGTTAATGTGAAAATTAGTTGTCAGGATATGCCAAAAATGTTTGAAGAATAAAATAAACGGTATAATTAAGCTGCATTAGTGACAGTTTATCTACACGGAACAATTTGGAGGTTCTGTCTTGTTATTACTGCTTATTTATATGGAGTCCTTTTATTTGGCATGGGCAGCAGAGAAAGTGATGAAGAAAAGGGGAGGGAGGACTGTTTATTCTCACAAATAAGAAAACTCTTGTTAAGTGTAACAAAATTTATTATTCCATGCTAATAAATTTTATAGTGAAAGGAAATATGTTTTTCCATAATTAGCTATTCAGTTGTGGTTAGGAAACAGTCTTATAAATCTATATATAAGAAAAATGACCACATGTAATCATGGCATAAACATTATATCTGACATGAGATATTAGATATATAAATTAGATTAATGTTGGTGTGTAACAAGAGAATAGCTGACAATATCTTCAAAATAAATACTACATGTACATCAAAATTTTATAAGGTATTTGTTTCAATGTTGCTTTAAAATCTGTCAGTACTTTTTTATTTATGTTAGGTCAGACATTACTCTCACACAGTAGAAATTTTAAATCCTTTGAAAATATAAATCTAGTGGGTATACCGTCATGGTCTTGACCTCTTTGCTCATATTCTCACTCCTTCCTCTCTTCAACTGGACTCTGGGAGCTCAGCCCAGTGCTCTGCTGTGACTCTCTGCCTCTGTCTCCATCAGTTGACGGATGAAGATTCTATCGTGATATTTATATATTCATCAGTCTGACTACAGGGCAAGACCAATTAGGGCACCCTCTCCTTAACTGTCTTAGCTGGGGTCATCCTTGTGGATTCCTGGAAATTTGTCTTGCCAGGTTTCTTGCTAGTCCCATAATGGATCCCTCAATCAAACTGTCTCATTCCTTGCTCTCATCTCTGCCCTTCTTCCATCTCAACTATCCCATTCCCTCAAGTTCTCCTCCCCCTCCCTTCTCCAGTCTTCTTTTCGTTCTGCCCTCCCTACTCCACCATCCCCATGCTCCCAATTTTGTCAGGTGGATCTCTGTATGTTTTTCTTAGGGTTCACCTTGTTACTTAGCTTCTCTAGAATCATGAACTATAGGTTCAGTATCCTTTGCTTTACAGCTAGTATCCACTTATGAGTGAGTACATACCATGTTCATCTTTTTGGATCTGGATTACTTCACTCATGATGGTCTTTGCAGTTCCATCCATTTGCATGTAAATTTCAAGATGTCATTTTTTTTTTTTACAGCTGAGTAGCACTCTAATGTGTAAATGTGCCACATTTTCTTTAGCCATTCTTTAGCTGAACTTTCAGAAAGGAAATTTATAGTTTTCTTTGCTTAGTATATAAATGTGTTTCCTTTATCTTTCAGGTTGGAATTGTTTTTTTTTTTTTAATTGAGCACATTTTTCCATATAGGACATCTAATTTTAATAAAATATGCTTAATTTATAATAGAAGAAATATAAATCTAAACATAATAAAAACATAGAAGCAACTTCAAAATAAGAACATCTAGTGCGTGCTGTGGGGAACCTGTAAATTGCCACACTAGACCGATTATCCTTGCGAGCATTTCATACGGCTTGACAGTAAAAAGTACACCTTGTAAAAGCTGTTACACAAACCATTTCATTTAAAAGGTTTCCTTCTCACACCCTGAAATTACACTTTCTCGCTTCAAGAGAAAATTCAGAATCTGTTCTCTGTTTATTTTGATTGCAATTACTGATGTGTTGATTTTTGCTTCCTGGCGAACTAGAAATTATTCTTTTGGGTTTCTTTATTGCAATAAAAACACAATGTATACTGTAGGCTACATTCAGAAATCATGAACCCAGATAACCAAGTACTAGGATAACAGAACCTAGCAAACAAAAATCTTTAGAGTATATACAATGTATAAGCATTTAGGTAACATTATCATACACATTTGCATAGTTTGCCCTACTTGAGTTTTTGTTAAATGCCCTAAAAAGGTGCTTGATTCATTTATGTAAGAAAGACACTTGGAAACTTCTAGGCGAGCCTCTGATCCTGGGATTCTATTCTCCGTGTGATAGGAGTGTTTCTCTCACTGTGCAATAAGCGCTTGGAGCTCCTGGCAGCATTCCCTGTTCTTTGTGACA